CAGAGACAGGGAAGCCAGGGGAAGCCATGTTTAGTCACCTAAGCTTTTTAGACTTTTCATCTTTAAAATGTACTGAAGCTTTTTACAGCCTTGCATTCCTGCCAGGCTGCACTGTTCATTTTATTTCAGCAGCTGCTTGTTTTGCTGGAATTCACATTATTTTATCTTTATGAAGACTTACTTTGGTGGTTGCCTTGCAAATAGTACAACCTCACTAGTGTGGTAAATTTCTAAGAGTGAGGTGGATTGGGGTCCAACAAAATAGGGACAAACAAAAAAGATATAATCCAAAATCATCTGAGAATTTAGATCAAGAAGGACGAAATGCATAGGGACATTCATAGAGGAATACTGAATTCTTTTTTCTGAAATTTATTTCTCACTTAAAAAAAATGAATATATGAATTAGGTTCAGAATTGGGCTCAGCTTGAATTCAAGCCAAGGGGTCAGCAGAGCAAGTATTCAAGAGCTTAGTAGGGTCCAATTTCAATTCTGAAAAACAAGCAACTATTCCATAGGATGGTTTTATTCAGGTACAGAGACTGATCGTGCAGAGGAAATAAACCCAATCAACTGAGACAGTTACTAGACCAACTTAAGACATATTTTAAAAATACAGAGATGGATATCAGAAAAAAAAGAGGTTAAGGAAACTAAAAAAAAGTTCATTTATAAAAGGTACCTATGCCGGTCATCCTGGAAATAAGATTATCAATAGGTCTTAATCAAATACTCCAGCACAATGGTATCTATCTTTTGTTTCTTCTTTTATCCTAACATAGCCAACTCCAAGATTTTGCTCAACCATCTTCTTGATTATCGGGAGATGGGCTCAATGCTGTTAAATAGACTTTGGGATTTGTCTTATTCTGCAATATATCAACTATGTAGGAACTTGAAAGGCCTAAATTTCTAGAGCTTCCCTTTACTGCATGCCTTGAAAGAGAACAAGATGAGGGATAACATAGACTAGGAGTGGAGCTGTTCCTCATGACCTGTTACAGCATGCGAGAAAATCTTGAGAAATGGGTCAAAGAAATGGGTCAAAGAGATGCTGTCTGGGAATGACCAGATAGGAGAGGATGCAGCCTGCAGCTCTACAGCTGGTGAAGAAAAAAGTTCAGAAAGGATTCTCCCTAACTTTTCAGATTCTAAAGTAAATGGTGGGAGATTTCTATTTTGAGATTTAAAAGATTCTGTTCATATAGCTTTACAATAAAATAGAAGTAACTCCTTTAATCTGTTTCCTCTCTGGTATAACTGGGAAGGCTGACATATGCAAAGACCATTGATGCTGCCACCTAAGAATGCCCCCGATGCACTCCCTCTAGATATTTATTATGTTTATAATTGAAAAATATAATTATAATATATTATATATTCAAATATACTGTAGATTTCTACTGGCACCTATTTACTAAATAAACACTAATACGTATCTTGTATTTATGAAAAAGTGAGCATTTATTTATCACCACAGTATTGATACAATGTATTAATATTACATATATACAAAGATGCAATATTATTAATATATTATATTTGGTTTTTATTTATTTAATATACATATTAAGCAAACACCACATACATACCAAGCTGGGCAAACTGTGATCATGTTGATTTGTGAACACAGCTGCACACTTCATTCTCCTTGCTATTTTACTGTCATAAATTCTTTGCTGTAGGAGGGAGGACCATAGGCAGATATTCAGAAGTTTCCTCTTGGGAGATTTTTTTAAATAAGCTTTCAAGCCTTCTAGAGGTTTGATGAAGATCTGAGAAGGTCCTAGGAGAAGGCCTCTGTAAAGCTGGGTCCATAGCCATGACCCTATCTCCATTCTGAAGGCAACAAGGTTCCTGTAGCTGGGGAAAGACTGAAGAAGGATAGGGGATGGCTTGAGAGAGGACAGGAGCCTTCAGGCTGATGCTAACCCCAACAATGATGAATGCTAAGCCAAAGAGGCAAAAGGTAGATAGCTCTTTCTTTTGGAATGAGCTTTATCTGAGAGTCTAATTTCTTCTTATTAGGCCCCTATTATTTTTTTATTATTTTTACAATTTCTGAGCGCCACTAAATTGCTGCTAATGGGATTGTTGATTTATCAGTGGCAAACAGAGCTGAGCTTTAAAAAGCTGCATGGTATTAGGTCAGATGAATGAAAAAAGTGTGCACAGTAGGAGATGATTATGATTTTTCTTTCTGATGCTTTGTCCTCATGTCTGTACAGTGGCGTTTATTTTCTGTATTTTAAGCAACACCCTTTCTTATTTTACAGATTCTGCATTAATATTGATTTTGTGACACAACATGATTTAGTAGGCTTAATAATCTTACTTCTTGTAATTGATTATGGCAAATTAATGCATTTCAAACTAGCGTGAATGTGTATTCATACATATATATATTGTTCAAATTGTTTAGAAATCTTGTCTTGAAGCATTGCCCAGTCTAGACAGGAAGAAACTTCCTGTTTTGAAGAGTTGAAAAGGAAACAAACTCCTCCACATGTTGGTAGTTCTTATGCTTATACATAAGCTTATGCTTCATTTGGACATCTATGCAATCTAGATTCAGTGTAGAAAGTTGTAGGGTGATGGTCTAAGACTTATGCAGCTTTCTGCTTAGAATGATGACCTCCAGGACCTTTGAGGACAGAAGCATAGGAGGTCCCTTCAATCCCAATGATAAAACTCAGATTAGGAATCCTGGTCTTTTACTGGTAGGAAGAAACCAGAATCAGAATCAGAATAACAGAGTTGGAAGGGACCTTGTAGGTCATCTGTTCCAACCCCTCACCCAAGCAGGAGATCTTACACCATTTCTGACAGTTGGTAGTCCAATCTCTTCTTGAAAGCTTCCAGTGATGAAGCTCCCATAACATCTGAAAGCAAACTGTTCCATTGGTTAATTGTTCTCATTGTCAGAAAATTTCTCCTTATTTCTAGGTTGAATCTCCCCTTGATCAGTTTCCATCCATTATTCCTTGTCTGGCCTTCAGGTGCTTTGGAAAATAGATTGATCCTCTCCTCTCTGTGACAACCCCTCAGATATTGGAACACTGCTATCATATCTCCCCTGGTCCTTCTCTTCACTAGACTAGCCATGCCCAGTTCCTGTAACCGTTCTTCATATGTTTTAGCCTCCAGTCCCCTAATCATCTTTGTTGCTCTACTCTGCACTTTTTCTAGAGTCTCAACATCTTTTTTACAGTGTAGAGATCAAAATTGGTTGCAGTATTCTAGGTGTGGTTTTCTAAGGCTTTATAGAATGGCATTAATACCTCCTGCAATCTTAATTGAATCCCTCTGTTAATGCAATTTAGGATTGCATTGGCTTTTTTGGCTGCCGCTGCAGACTGTTGGCTCATATTTAAACAGAGCAGATATATCATACTCAGTAAAATAATGGCTAACGATGAAATCAGTAATTTGAAAATTCATAGAAAGGAGGCTGAAGCTATTGGTCATAAGAGTTTACAAGACCTCTTGAGTCAGGTAGCCTGTATACACCATTGGAAATGCTTTGCCTTCATCACTTGCGGAAATATATCCAAGAGAGAATTTCCAAATGGAAAATCATTTCAATAATTTGAATGACTCCTCTTTTTGAGAACAGCTGCCTCACCTATTATCCAGGTGAACAGTGTGTTTGAGGAAGAATGGATGATGAACCTGTTGTATCTACAACCATTTTATGGGGAAGTTAATACACTAAGCTTTGGTTGCACATATTAGAAAGGAACTAAAAGAAGATAATTGGCTGATGCTTTGCTATGTGTCTCACCATTTTAGTGGACAAAATGACTATGGACATCAACTGTTTTGAATTATTTATTAATGGCTGACATTGGGTGTTGCTGCTGCTTGTGTATTTTGTTTTATGATGGATTCTGTATGTACGTTTTGCTTTCTTTCTTCAGATTTTTGATGGGTTTTTTATTTTCAGGGGGTCACTAGACAGCTCAGTTATCTCAGTAAGACAGAAAAACAGTTTAAATGTTTAATTAAATAAGAGAACACATACCTTGGCCATTTTGAAAATTGGTAAGTGGTTTCTAATACATACAGTAGGGCCATAGGGCTCCATGCTGCATGGCTGTTAGCTGAAATCCAGTGTGATAAAACTGTATCAGATTAAATAAGATTTGTGAGAACCTGGGTAGAGTCACAGCAGAAGACCTTACTCTGCATTAGAAAGTGGAGAGAAGAGGTCCACTAAATTTGGAAGTCGTCAGTTTAGAGTTGACTTAGAGCAGTGGTTCTCAACCTTTTTAATGCCGTGACCCCCCCAACCGGCCGTAAGTCAAGGACTACTCAACCAGTCGTAAGGCAAGGACTACTCAACTGGTGCAGCACCATTTGCAGAATGGGACTTTTGGCAGGCTCGCAGGGCAGAGACAGCCTGGACAATTCCTATTGGCTTTTGAAAGCCAATAGAATTAGACTCTATTCAAGAGAGTCTATTCTATTGGCTTTCAAAAGCCAATAGAATAAAAGGGAGTAGCACAGCTAAGGAAAAGGGGAAAAAAATGGCGGACTGTGTTGTTTGCTGACCCCCGTGAAATGGTCGTTTGACCCCAAATGGGGTCCCGACCCACAGGTTGAGAACCACTGACTTAGAGGAAGGATTAAGTCTTCCTTAATTTTCTCTTAATGATTTGAATTGGTTGGGCATATTCCCATATGAATATTGTAAACATAGCTGGCCTGAGTTTTATGTAAAACATATACAAAGTGTGCTTTTTTGATACAGCTTATAAACTAGCAAAGGATAATACCAAAACAGAGTGTAAATAAACCCAATTAACTCTGCAATGATCAATTATAACATTTGCTAAGATTAGAAATTACATAAATAAATACAAAGGTAGTACCAATTCCTTGATAAACCCAGTAGGTTTATATATGAAGACTACATGGATAGCAGAATAATGAAATGGTATTATGGATTGTCCAGGATCTGCCTACAGATGGCAGCTCCTACTTTTGAAGGTTTCCCATTTTCTTCTTCTTGTATTTCTCTTCTAGGATGAACCTGCTTATCAATATTCCTTGTGCTTGCTTCTGCCCAAAATTTAAAAAGCAAAAAGCAGGATAGTCCACTGGATTCAACAAACATGAATGAAATTTCCTGTAAGTAAAAAAAAAAAGAAGAAGAATAAATCAGGTTGAATGGATAAACTAAGTCCTGCTTGGAATTGTTAGCTTTGTTCCTTGCAGGGGATACTCGTAACAATTTTATATGTAGGTGCATAAAAAACCCCTTCATTCAGCTTTTTGGAGATGCATAGCCCACTTTATACCTTTTCATTCCATTAAAATATGACAGGTCCAAGTAAGAAAGGGAGTCATTAGGAAGAATAGTTGAAACTTCATTGGACTATATTATACATTTACTTATTTATCATTTTTATTTTGCTTTCTAATTTATCCTTTGGATTTATAGCATTATAGGATCTTAAAATGGATCTTAGCCATTTTAAAGAACTTAGCCATTGCAATTTAATTTGTATCATGGAAGCACAGTGGACAAAAAAAAAAAATCATATAACAGGCACTGCCATATCATTGAGTCCAGGGAAATATCTCTGGTACATTTATGACTCCTTAATTGTTACCTAACTATTACTCTTTTAGTGTTCCATCCTTCCATTACACATAATTCTACTTTTTTCTCTACTTACTCTACATGCAACTATAATAAGGAATTTTCTTCTTTTTTACAACATGTTGCATATGCTATTTATTACAGAAGGATAGAATATAAAAGAATATGTTTGCGTTATCATATTATGATGCAATAAAATGACTCTAACAAACTCTTTTTTCCCACATGAACCATCAGAATAGCAAACGCAATAGTAATAGCACTAACCTTGCCAGTTTTCCAAATAGGGTTGCTGTAGTACATTAATCCAGAAGAACCTCTGCAAAACTGTTGATATAAAAGGACTAATCTTCCATATAAAAAGAAAGAGAAAAATATTTCTATTAAAAGAAGAATGTCCAGTTTACTGGGGGAATAGCTAGTTGTTTTTATGGCATGTAATAGGTATAGATCAAACACACTTCGTAACTATCAGTGATCAGTTTGGAGAAGAAGACAGCACAGGTCTTATCCTCTGTGTTTTGCCCTCCTGGCATTGTCAGATGCATCTCATCTGAGATTATTCCAATCCCTTTTCCAAAATATAAACTCCCAAGGGAACTCAGACTAGAAGAATTCCACTACAATCTATGTACACACAACAATATCGAAATCTAAGCTCCCTTTCAGTTTCTTTCTCCACTGCAAATCAAAGGACAGAGAGGGTTTTATTTAGATCAAGAGCAGGTATCTAGCAAATGGAGACAGTAGGAAAGTGTGATTCAAATGCATCCTATGATAATTAGGTCTTTGTTGTCAGTTAATAGATAATCCTCTCTGCTGACGAGAATACATTAGTTTGGAACAAATGCTTACTAGTGTGAGCGCTGGAATAGGCAGTGACTAACAAGCTTCTGAAATTTGTTATGTCAGGAAGGAGGAGGAACTTAAACTGAGAGCTCTCGCTTTTCCCAGAGAAAGAAAACACGGAGCATAGATGTGTGTGATCTTGTGCTCCAAAGCTGGCAAGATATTGTTTCATAAAGACAGGCATTTGAGTTCTTGGTTGTCCTGCAGTGTATTGAAGGAGTTGGTCTTGAGTACAGCTGTTGCATTGGTGAAATTAAGGAAAGAAAAAAAGCAACAACAAAAATGCTGGAAATGAAACCTTGCTCAACATTTACTTAATGCTCATCAATGATTACAAAGTCAAGCACAGTTCATTCCAAGGCACTCAGGTAGGTAGTAGTATTTATATATTTCCTCTGTGTGTGAATGTCTACAGCATGGGTGGAAATAATAAGTGAATACTATACATAATCATAAAATCAATGTGCAAAAGAGGAGCACATTCTACGCTTGAGAATAATTCTGGAAAAAAGACAGTTTGCTAAGCTTGAAATGGTCTTTTCTCTGATTGAGAATGACATAAGCAAATATATTTATTTACAGGTCGCCTGATCTGTAGAAGTTTATGATATGAGCTGTTAGTGCGTTAAGTTTTCCTCTTTCTCCAACTGAAACCTTGAGAAGAAAAACTGGCAGTAGCACAAGGACTCAAAATGTTGTGTCAGTACTTCACTCAAAATTGCAGAGAAACTAACCCCCAGCAAATAAGCTGAATTGTGCCAATAAGTTTTCTGTATGTCAGTAAAGTTTCTTTGGATCAGACCTCATAGTTATTGCAATAAATACGGGGTTTGAGTGATCTTGTAAATAGACCCAGTAAGCTGTCTGTTGAAATGTTAAATAATGGATAAATGTTTTTGCCCTAGAGCTCTTAGGGGAATATTTTCTTCAATGTATGTGTCCATAGAATATTACAGAAGAATAAAATAGCACTTATAATTAATTAATTGATTATCAATTCCAGCATTCCTCATTAGTTTTGGATATGCTACCTTAATTTCTAATTTGCTTCTTTTCTCGTGCAGATTTCTCGGCAGCATTTTTGGAAGTGGGTTGCTGTTGTTTTTTTCCTAGGGTTGAGAGAGAGTCACTATAATAAACTTAGGCTCCCCCCCCCACTCTCTGTATACACATGGTTTATCTTTTTTTCTTTATTGGCAATATAGGGGCTTTTTTTATTTCACCATTTTAAAAAAAACACAAATTTCTGATTTCCTGAAGTGGGATTTGTATATAAGAAGCAATCTCCCAGCATATATAGAAATGGATTGTTATCTTTTGGGCATTCCAGCCACTATTACTTTTAGCTGTAATAGGTTCATTTCATACTTTGAAAAAGGAGACATATATAGAATTGCAATGTTTGTTTCACCTATATATTAATATGAAAAATAGGTATGTTTATCACTCCATGGGGAAAAAAACAACTGACTTCAAAGTATATAATTCTGAATAGATTGGAGAAAAGTATGCCTGATAAATATGTATTTTGGGCAAGAAAATCCCATGTCTACTTTCCAAATGTATGGAGTTATTGTAGTTACTTGAGCAGTACAATGCAAAAGCTTTTCCATTGTATCAACATTTAAATATAAAACATTTCTGATTCTATATTGAGCTATCTCATTTAAAATTCTAGCACGAGAAATGAATTTCTAGAATAAAACTTAACATACCAGAAATGGGATCTTTGGTTATTTCTTAGGTTTGTAACTCACTTTACTGCATTGTCAAGGCAGGTGACACTTCTACTAGAAGGTGACCCAAAGCCTGAATGATGTGCTTTTGCGCTGGCTAGAAGGGCCTCTTGAATCTGTGGTTTTTAATCCAACTTTCTGTATGCTGAAGGAGACTTGGCTCGGTATTTCTAAAATGCTAATCATTTCATAAGTTTAGGTCTAATTCATTATATCCCCAGTTTCAATTCCTGATGTCGTCCTTCAAGATCCAGGAGGGCCACTACCAATCAAAATGTAGAACTTCTGGCTAGAGTGAGCAATAGCTCAACTTAAGATAGCTTCCTATGATCTATCTTGGGAACATTGCCCCGGAGCTTCATAAATATAATTCTGGATCCTCTTCAAGTCTTTCCCAAGCAACATTCCACCCCCACCCCTCACCCTGTCCCGTGGAAAATATGCACAGTATTTACTTATTTGTTTCTTGGTAATGACGGACATTCAAACTATTGCTTAATTTGCTTCTGCCCAGTGGGGCAAAGAAGAAGAAGAAACATAGAAGATTATATATGTAGTTCTATTCAAAGCAGAAATTATATAGTAAACATTAAACTTCAGAGTTTTGTTGGCTGACTGTATACATTTAACTTCATAAGGTATATCCATAGTTTCATATTCATAAAGCATGTGCCAAATTAAAGGTAATTGCAGGCTTATACTTTTTTTGAAAAAAAAATGTAATGCTGACTGGTGCTTTGTCACATATTTTGAAACACAAATTATAGCACTAGAAATGATAAATGGTGAAGAGTTGGGTAGTAATTCAGCTATCCCAAAAAGTTTGGATGAACTAGAACAATTCCAGTCTCCTTGGAATATGCAGAAATGCAGGTTCAAATTTTGTTTTGCAAAACACATTTGTCATCTGTATCTCTCAATTCTCATGTAGCTTTCTTGATTTTGGGTAAACATGAACTGGACAATGCAGTAGCACTGCAAAGAAATACATATTGGTAGGTTTTCAATATGCAAATTAAAATGCCAAGTTATGCCAGCTTCTTTGTATGCCTAAAACATTTCTGTACTTCCCTGTACTTCAGAATGCCTAAGTCTGTTTACAACAAACACATTTAGACAATGAAGGACATTAAGTGCAGGTATGGGTGTGTAGCAATAGCACATGCATCTCTCATATTTATTGAAATGTTTGCTTTCAGTTTCCTAATTCCTAAATTATATTTTACTTTAGTCTTTCCCAACCTGATGCTCTCCAGTTTTGTTATGACTGACTATACTTCTTCTAGTTTCCAGAAGATGTAGCCAACACTTGAGAACATTAGACACTTAAAGGGTTGGGAAGGGTACATTATTTCAGTGAAACACAGCAATTCTAATTAATAGTTTGGATAGTCATTTCCCATGTTTTCAAAGTGGAAAATGTGCAAAAATGATGACAAACCCTATAAGATTGAAATAAGTTTCTAATACAAAGTGAAACATAAGTACTTCCCCCTAAAATTCAGGGGAAAAAAACCCTAACCCCATCTACATATGTCCCATGGCCTTCCCCATTTGTGCATAATTGCTTTGCTTTGTCTAGTGCTCAGTTTCTTAAAAACTGTTCAATGAGCCATGCAAGCCACTAAAGAGCCGAGGTGGCGCAGCAGTTAGAGTGCAGTACTGCAGGCCACTTTAGCTGACTGTGTTCAGCAGGTCAGCGGTTCAAATCTCACCGGCTCAAGGTTGACTCAGCCTTCCATCCTTCCGAGGTAGGTAAAATGAGGACCCAGATTGTTGGGGGCAATGTAAATATATATACAGTGCTTACTGGTGTACACCGCTTAGAGAGTGCTTGCACTTAAAGCAGTATATAAGTCTCATAAATAAATAAATAAAAGGTGACCTATCCTTGGTGTAGGGAATTAAAGTCTTTCCTTACTTGATTGTCACTCTTGATTGCTCTGTATTAGTGATTTTCCCCTAAAGCATTTGACAAGTCGTGGCAGTTTTACTCTTAATATAATCTGAGGAGGCTACGCTCATCAGTCATTTTGTTAGTGGTGCTTCAGGTGATGCAAAACAGCCAGACCTGGCCAGCACCTATTAGCCACATTAAGCTCTGATATCTGGGCTATTCAAGGTCTATTCTGCTTTAGTTAGCAGAGTTAGCAGAAGTACCCAGTTTTGTCAAAGTCTGTGGAGTTAGTGTTAAATCCCTGTTCAAGAACAGCTGGTGAGGGGTTATGCCATGAACTATGAAATACCAGGGAGGGAGGGAGGGAGGGAGGGAGGGAGGGAGGGAGAGAGAGAGAGAGAGAGAGAGAGAGAGAGAGAGAGAGAGAGAGAGAGAGAGATCATATGCTCAATTCCACTGTGTAGTTCTGCTGCCACCACTGATTAGCTGCGATAGCTGCAAATTTGACTTTATCCAGGACTTTGGGCCAGAGGTAGCTTGGCAAGTAAAAAACTTCCTCTCCTCCTTCTCCTACCATATTTCCCAGCTCGAGCAATTGATCTCTAGCCAGGGGGTAGGTAGAAGCGGAAACCAATTCTAACAAAAGGCTGACCGTGAAAAATCTAATCATCTGTCAAAAACATCATCAATCACAGCAGTGTTATGATTGGAAGATAGTTTTCCTGTCTGCTGGGGGTGTTGAAATGGAAGTCTGTAGAGAGGGGACAGCAGTCTCCTCTGCAGGAGGAATGAGGACATCATCGTCCATCATGAAACCAGAATAGATCGTCTCAGGATTGGCAACGGGGATGGCAAAATCTGTGCCCGTTTAGTTTTCTGCTGGACTGCACATAAGAGGACAGTATTGTAACTGAACTGTGGAGAAGACTCTTTATAGGATAAAAACCAGGAAACTGAATTAAGTACAATCTGTACATTCTTGATGCTTGGAATTATTGTGATTAAGCCTATACTACTTCTGTAATGAAGTCAGCACATGGTATTGCCCTTACAGACTTGGTGTGAAACACATTAAGGGAAATGATGGGTGGTTCTCCTGGCTATGTTGCCCTTCTAACCAAGCCTTAACTGCCAGTGGGAAAAACAACCATCAGTTGCACCCATTAATGTATGGTAGGACAGAGCTATGGGAGTATAGGTGGATTGAAGTGGTGCATTTAGCTGTCTGCCAAGTTGCTAAAGTTCACAACTATGGCACATATGATTGTTAGTCAGGTCAGCATTGAACAGAAGTGTAATTTTGTAGATAAGGACCTTGCATAAGACCAATATCTGTCTGGAAAGAACAGGTCAGCATTATGTGGATAAAATTTTCTTTGGAAACTAGGCATTTTGTTTCTGCTGCAATCCAAGCCAAAATGGCTAAAAGGACAGTGCCCAGTGATTGAAAGGGAAGGGATTGCTCACAACAGTTTAAATTGGCCAATAAGAGCTGGACAGATCTCAGCTCCTATTAGCATCATCAACCAATGGCCAAGGGTGGGCAAATAAAGAAGCAAATAAACTATTTTGCTTATTATTCTGCCTTTTGTGTTTTCTTCATTTTGATAGAAGTGGCACGGTTCTGTATTGTATTATTACCATTAATTTTATTATAGTGTTCTGATTACTGGATTATGTATCTTGCCTAGAGTTCAAACTGGACTGAGATGATAAATAAATCCAAGAAAGAAAGAAACTAAAGAGGATACTATTATTATTATTGCTGTTGTTGTATACTTTGATTGTTATATTTTCTTTCCCTCCCCCCAGAAAAAAAATTGTGGGCTGGAATTAAGAGCATGCAATGTCCTGGGGTCTGCTGTGCCACAGGTAGTGAAAGCTGAAGAGGGGCCCCACAGGTGATTCAGTTGCCATCTGCTACATCAGAATGGAGTGGCCTTGATTGGTGCTAAATCGCCTACTCAAACCTACTACTCATTGAAGCAATGTACAGTTAATGAGCAAGTAGAAGCACAGCCTATTCCTCCAAGAAGCAACCACTGTTTGATTGCTCCTTCTCTTGCTCCTTCAAGTCATCCAATGAGAGACAATGAATGAACAGACTATCATTTGTTTTCTTGCTCCATACCTGGTGTGCTAATCCCTGCTTTGTTGCCCCAAGAGAAAGCACATGCTTGAGCAAGGAGAGCATTGCAGAGGGAGAGTACAGGGGAATAGGCCTTGATAGAGGCATCTGTCACTTGGCCTAGTCCTTGGTATCAGTAGAAGAACGTCCTCAAGATGGAGTCAGCATCTGCTCCTGAAGGTGCTGATGCTAATGCTGATGCTGCTTCCTTTTATTAACCCTCTATCCCTGGAGGAGCCAACAAGGAGGATGTCCTTAATTGTCCTTAATCTGCTCTACAGTTCTTTTACCCAGAGAGATAATTCTGAGAAACAAGTTCCTCTTATGACCAGCATTTTCTGCACTGCCCAAGAGAGCAAGTGCTCCTTCTCTCTAGACAGCACTGGATCCTCATTCTGCTCTACAGGGACCGTGCTCAAAGAATGGGACAGAAAAAGAAAGGATGAATATCATCCTTGATCTTCCCACCATCCCCCAAAGCGGAAAAGTTTAGAAGAGATCTTATCCCCATGGGATAAAGACTATTTTGGTAACTTCCTGGTTATAGACTTCCTTCCAGCATTTGTATTCCAACTTCTCCACAAGAGGCAAGCAAAAGGAGCAATGACTATTTGGGTTTACTAATTGCTTCTGCTTGTCTAATCATTTTGTTTCCTTCAGTATAAGAGTGAGGAGCTTAGAAATTCTTTTGGAAATGTTACTAAATTAAAAAATAAATGAATGAATATGTTACCACATAGTAAAAAAATATCTTGTCTGAGGTTTTTGGTGGTTTTTTTTTGTTTGTTTTTTGTTTGGCTTGGATGACTTGCTTGACCTCGAGTTCCAGGATTCCTTAACTGGCTGAGAATTGTGAGGCATTGTAGGCCTAACACATCCTGTGGTTATTGGGTTGAGAGATAGTTAGCACCTGGTGCCCCACCTCAGCTTTTTTTATGTAGGAAGAGGAGTGTCAGTGAGATCAAATGATACAGCTGTGCATGTAGAAGTAGTAAACTGAATTACAACTGATGTATTTATAATGCCAGAGTATGCCAAAGACTTGAGCCACATCGAGGTTATGGTTTATTTTCTTAATTTATGTCATACCTTATTTTTTCCAAGGGTTTGGAAACTGTTCACTTATATCAGCAATGCTCATTATTCACTGGTTATGTATTTGTGAATTTGTTTATTCACAAAAATGTTTTTGTAACCTTCAAATCTGTACTTGTGGTACTGTTGTGCATATTCATGGACATGTGGAGTGACAAACCATTGGAATTGTCTCATGCACATATGAGACAACTAATTTGGTATTCATAGCATTTTCACAGAATATAGCA